ATATTACTATTTTAATTTCTTTGTTTTAGAAGAACAACCGTTTTTTATACTGGAGTACTTAATTACGAAATATTACGAATACTAAAAACTTATTAAATTATATAAATACTCTATTGAACATTTAAATGATTCCATTTTTGTCCTCGTTTAACTTCATCATGGTTTATTTTAGAAAACAATTCATGGTTATTTGATGATATAACATCAACAGTTAAAAATATTAAAAATTGTTTCTTTTTTGTTGACTACAATGTTGAATACAATATACTTATTACGACAACTTAACAAGCTGAAGCTATGATTGTTTCAATTGAATCGTAAGAAATACACAATATGGAAAATTCAGCAGAGGTTCGAGCAGCATTAGAGGTAGTGAATGATATTTTTATGTACAAATTTTTTGAAATGTTGTTAAAATAATTTTTTTCAATTGTTAGTAGTTTTTGAACTGACTTCTTTTATCTGTTGATGTCTTTTTCATTTTTTCGTGGATTACAGATTTATTAATGAATTAAAATAAATAAAAGAAGTTGATTATACAATGAAAATCAAATTTGGTTTTTAAATTTTAAAAGACGCTCCAATTACTAGATTGTAGATGAATCTCTAGGTATGCTCATACAAATTCATTGTCGATATTCTACTTAGAAAATCGAATTTCTTATTTATATGTTGAATATCTTGTTGTAAAAAAAAAATTAGAAATTATTCAATATGAGAATTCATACAGCCATTTCTAATATCAGTTTTCGTTTTCCATAAATTATTTTTTACTTCACAGTGCATCTGTATGAATTGTTTTCATATTCGCAGCATCTGGGTTCTAAGTATACAATATTTAAATAGCTTATTTTGCATTTCGAGTTTTTTAATAAGTTCCTCACTACGATTAAATGATTAAATCCACAGGGCTCTTCGTAATTTGAATGATGTGTTGCAGTTGATAGAAACTTTTGCGCCTTATACTGTTGACTTTTTTTTCCGGATGATTCGTATCTTTCTGTTTCAGCATATTAAACATTTATTTTCAGTTGCTGTCTGTGTTTGCCCATTTTTTTTCGTTTTCTCTGAAAATTCTTTTCTAATAAGACCTGTACAAGAAGGACTGCACATAGCAAGAATAAAAACATTCATTGAAAGAGAAGACGGCAATTGGTGACAAAACAAGCAAAAAAGGGCATACTTTATTCAATAGTATTAATTTTCTATGGAGTCCACAAATTAATATCTATGTCTGAATGATTTGAGACGCTTAGAATAGTTCAAAGATGGACAATGATTAGCCGCAAGACTTTTCAATGCATCTCTATTTGAGGAGTCGAGTACGGATAATTCATAGAACACAACTGTTCTAAAAACATTTTTGCATCTAGTTTCATGATGAAATAAATAAAATTTACATTATCATATACATGAGACAATTTTCCTTTGAAATGATACAAAATTTGATAATCATCTGTATAATTCATTTTTTGAATGTAAACAGATATTTTAGAACATTCGATATTTCATCTTATCCCTCAATCAACAAGAAAGAGAAAGAAAAGCATTCAACTTTTTCATTTGAAATGAAACTCCCAAAATATAAAAATTCCTAAATGCATACTAAGAACACAAACAGGTGTTTTTTTACCTGCTTCTCATGAGAAAAATCAATTTTTTTTAAAGATATTAAAAAGTGTATGCAAAAATCGAAATGCTTAGTCTAGGCTGTTTCAAAATCTGATGATTGTATGCAAAATCTTTTTCAAGACATTCTGTCGGCTATGGAAAAATTACAAGCATTTATCAAAGATGTGATAATGTAGACATATCTTGAAGTTTTTTTTTGATAAATTCTCATAATCAAAAACCCTTGATCCATAAAAATATTCTAGTAAATCAAAAAATCAAAACTCATGTATAAAGAAGACATTCTTAAGATGTGCGAGCTTAAAAAAGTTATTATTGAAGGTCATTATTTTCAAAACAAGTTTTATTTGATTCGACGTTTTAGAATTTCAACATTCAATATTATCTATTTCAGAATACATAGTAGAGACAGCTACAAAAAAGTACATCATGCTTTTGTTGAGAATAGTGTTTTAGATTAATATCACTTGTGCAAAATAAACAAGAAGTTAGAAAAATCGTACTTTTTCAGTTCATGAAAAAAATAAAGGCCTATTTATCCATGAACGTTTCAAAAATTGATTTCGAGCCAATGTTTTGTTTCATCATTAAGAATAATCAATTTTGCATCAGTATTTATATAAAGTTTTATCAGTTCATGCTTTTACAACATGTTTATGAAAAGGACTAATGGCAAGGATGTGCGTACGCTTGTGAGTGACCTTTCTTCAAACATACATCTACCTCCTATATATCCATTATTTTCTATATTTCCATTAGCAGAAACTTGAACACGAATTTGGAAATTCATGAAAGGCATTCTATGTAAATCAAAAATAAAGGTTTCTATCAAAACATTCTCATCAGGGTTTACTTATTCATGACAATTATTCTCTCGAAGTATTTAGATCAGTAAAACACTCTAATAAGAGATTAAAACTTCAGAGAAAACAAAGTCTATGAGATCCTATCTAGGTATTGACCACTTCGAAATTTCTATATTCATATTTCAACAAGAAAAAAAAATAACAAGTACAATGAATGTATTAAAACGTAACATGATGAAAGAAATTCTGGAAGCATGCGTATCTTATGTTCATTACCATTCATAGAAGACACGACAGGCAAAATGAATTCATATGTGTCAGGTCTTAGTAACATTCAACCTATATATAACATCTAATGAATGCATTACAAACTAACAAGATCAGACTAATTCTTTAGTTGTGTTTCACTGAAGTTCTCAAACCTGATTAAAGTCGAAGACAACTGTCGAATATAACTGTATGTGAATTTGAAGTGAACTTTATCGAATAGACCGAATAAGGATGATCACTTGAAAATATGTCAACTGTGGTAGTGTTTTTTTAATAATTAACTCTGATACTTTCTAGATCATGTTCTACAATTAATGCAAAATCAATCGATCATTTAGATCTTCATTTATATTATACAACCGTAGAATAGGGTTTATTGATATAATTACAAAAAGATTTCGAACATTCTTATTGCAGCATAAAATACGATATTTTTACTTTTATAATTTGAAGGGACAATGACATTCATCTACAAAAACTGCCGATAAAATATAAAAACAAACTAATAATACAATCATGCTCTTTTATTTAGTCATAGTTCGTTGAGAGAGAGGATTATGAAATGAAAAAGAAGATAAAATTTTCTATATTAAACTTGCTGTCCCTTTTAATATGGGACGAGAATGAATAATACGAATCTTCCATCAAAATAAAACGAAGACATTTCTAAGATTCAAATTATATTGATAAATTACTAAACATACCAAATATGTGTTCAATAGGGAAACGATTGATTGAGTCTGTTATTACATTTATGACAAGATTATTAACTGTGACGAATCTTTAATAAACATTGTTAAAACTGTGTTGATCCGGATTCAATCACAACTATTAATGTTTATAAAAATAATATATCAATAAAGAATATTTTGGACAAGATATTGGTTCAGAATACTTGTTGACGAAAGTTTTTTGTTGATGAATGGAAAAAATTTTGAATTTCGATGAAAATTTAATAACTCTTTATTTCGCATAGCGATTCTAGCAAAGCCACTGATAAAACAATCATTGGAATGTAACATTGATGTCTCCTATTTATCAATAGTATGCGATGATCAATCAGATGCAGTCTCGTTTGTGATAATAATTTTGTCACACCAATGGCCATTGTAAGGAAAGCGGTTTGATTAAAGATTCAGCTGGAAGCCTTCTATTCTTCTAATTTAGTTTGGTTAATAAGTATCATAGAGAACACGTGGTCTCATTTTGAAGCAAAACTGCTAGTTCTCTCATTACGTGTAACGGGAGAAAATTTTATAGCCGATTTCTAGCCGTCGAAAAACTAGAGGCTTGATTTTCTAGAAATCTCTTAGCAAACATTCTGTATCTTACAATTTATTTTATATTTAGCTTTCCTGACACTTTCGAATTGTATTAATATCAGTATAGTACCCATGATCATCGTTATATCTGCCACCGAAAACAAATCGAACACCATACTTTTTTCAATTATATGTTTCCAACATTGTTGTTCTGTGTCGTATTTATGTAGCGGATACATGCTCGACTGCTCAACTTATTTTGAGAGTTCCAGCCTTTTAGAATGAGAATTGGTGGAGAAGACAACAAATATGTTTCATGTACCTTATGTGCCACTATTATAGTACAGCTCAGTAATATATGGTGTTTTCCTTTTCTTTCTCTTCTATTCTGCTATCGTACACAGATGACATGTACGGCATACATATGTTTTTCTGCTTTCCTTTCCTTTTCTCTTCTTAATATACTATATGTGTTTTCTATATCATCGTGTCTTCTTCAAAGCGTTTTGGGTTTATTCTAGTTCCTTCATTCATATATAGTTGTCTTTTGGAAAATAAAGATGAAGATTTAAGTTCTGATCTGTTGGATCAATTACCCATCGACTGTGATGATTTTTAGACGGAAGAATGGTTAGTGAAGATGGAATTACACTTTATTTGTCTTAATTCCTATCATAAATCCAACGTACATACAAATATTTCAACACTTTATATACACAGACATCAAAACTAAGCAAATATCACAAGATAATGGCGTGAAATATAATACCAGAGAATAAGGACAAAACTTAGAGTGAGACTAAAGTGCATCATAAGGACAAAACACACGATAAGAACAAAATATTAGGCAAGCCTAAGCTTCATCGTTACCTTCACAGTCATGGAAACCGAAGTTTTTTGTTTTTATCTAAATTTCTCTGTAATTTTATGTTCAATTTGGAACATAAAATGGTAATTAGTACTTCGGAGACATGACAGTACAACAAAACATCTTACGATGTCTCGTTGCATAGTCATGATTCCGAGACTCTTAACTACCAATCGATATTCCAAATGGAATCTAAAATAACAAATAACAAAAAACAACAAGCAGAAGAATTTTGGTTTCAGTGGCAGATAAGCCCGTAGCACATATTTGTTATGTTATCTAGAAATTTCCACTCTGTGATGGTGAAATTTTCAAAAGATGTTAAGCAATAGATCATGTATCTGTGATATAAATATGAGACAAAAACAGCAATGAGAGGACGCAATATTGGAAAAAGACAGCATTCGTTTGGTTTTGGCCATGTGTTTTATATTCATTTGATATACTATGAAGAATCAGAATCCACAAAAGGATTGTAAGAGAGCACTAGAGTAAATTAGTTCAAGAAAAAATAAAAAATAAAAAAAATGAACGGCTAATTGTAAAGAATTAATAGTAAGGCGGAGGACTTGGTTGTTAGATATCACGTTGATCTCCCATCACCTGGTCATCGTCGGCGAACATCAGCAAAACTGTAGGTAAAAATGCAAAGCAGATCTTAGCAACTTAAAAAATATGTTGTAGTAACCTTGTACGAATGCGGGAGCAACAACTGGCCCTTGATGAGAAAGTTGTACATTCGATGAGTACGTATTCGTTTCGCTGTGAAGACCGTCTTCACTCGAATCATTTATCATTGTCATCGGTAATTTCGAAAGACGGATCGTAGTATCATCTGGCATCTCAGCAAAGTTACGTTTCTAGTCAAATAAACAAAAATAAAACTTCAACTGTGTTGCTTTCTTACCCTAACTAGTCTTGCTGGTTCTTGTTGTTTTTGCCGAAAAGTTCCTCGTGGGACATATTCATGTGATGAAACAGATATAGCTGCACCACTTTCGAACATAACTGGCAACGGCATAAAACCATTACGATTTTTTAAAGTATTTCGAATCATTGATACTGATCCTGCTTCAACTGAAAGCGACCGTTCGACTAGTGGTACCGACTGTTGTATTAAGGCATCCACAATGTTGCGTTCTCTTTTTTGAGTTAGTAATAGTACCTTCTGTGCTTGATCTTTATGTTGCTTTCTTGATTTCTCTTCTTTGACAACCTTCTTTGTTACTTCCGATTGCACTACGCTCCGCGATACTTCAGGTTGGAATATCTTCTTTGCATCTGCAGCATTGACTAATTTCTTTGATTCTTTAGTTTTAACATCCTTTTTTGCTACTTCTACCTTTGCTACATCCTGTGGCTCTTCAGATTTGACAACTTTCTTTCGCTCTTCAGACTCGACGACCGTCTGTCGTTCTTCTCTTTTAACTACCTTCTTTGGTTCTTCTGATTTGATAAGTTTTTTCACTTCTTCAAGTTTGACAAACTTCTGTGGTTCTTCAGGCTTGACAACCTTCTTTGCTTCTTGAGGCTTGACAATCTTCTTTGGTTCTTCTGATTTGACAACTTTCTTTAGTTCTTCTGGTTTGACTGTCTTCTGTGGTTCCTCACTTTTAACAACCTTCTTTGGATTCTCCAGTTTAACTACATTTCGTGGTTCCTCAGGTTTGACAACTTTCTTTGGTTCTTCTGGTTTAAGCACATTCTGTGGTTCTCTAGACCTGATGATCTTCTTTGGTTCTTCTGCTTTGACTTCTTTTCGTGGATCTTCAGATTTGACGATCTTCTTTGATCCCTCTGGCTTATCCATCTTCTGTGGTTCTTCAGGCTTGATGATCTTCTTTGGTTCTTCAGGTTTAACGACCTTCTGTGGTAACTCAGGCTTGACAGCCTTCTTTGGTTCTTCTGCTTTAGCCACCATCTGCGATGCTTCAGGTTTGACGACTTTCTTTTGTTCTTCTGGTTTGACCTCTTTTTGTGGTTCTTCAGGTTTGATGATCTTCTTCGGTCCTTCTGGTTTAACTACCTTCTGTAATTCCTCAGGTTTGGCAACCTTCTTTGGTTCTTCTGTTTTAAGCACTTTCTGAGGTTCTCCAGATTTAATGATCTTCTTTGGTTCTTCTGCTTTGACTTCTTTTTGTGGATCTTCAGGTTTGACGATCTTTCTTGATTCTTCTGGCTTAACTAACAGCTCTGGTTTCTCAGCTTTGACAACCTTATTTGGTTCTTCTAGTGTAATCATCTTCTCTGGTTCTTCGGATTTGATATTCTTCTTTGGCTGTTCTGGTTTAACTACAGTCTGTTGTTCCACTGATGTAACAACCTTTTGTGGTTCTACCGGTTTAATTACCGTATTCGGTTGCTCAGAATTAATAACCTTCTTTTGTTCTTCAGGTTTAACTAGAGTTTGTGGTTGTACGGGTTTAACTACAGTCTGTGGTTCCTCAGACTTAACAACCTTCTCTAATTCTTCAGGTTTAACTATAGCTTGTAGTTCTACAGTTTTAACTGCCTTATGTGGTTCTACCGTGTTAACTACTGTCTGTGGTTCCTCAGGTATGACAACCTTCTCTAATTCTTCAGGTTTAACTATAGCTTGTAGTTCTACAGTTTTAACTGCCTTATGTGGTTCTACTGTGTTAACTACTGTCTGTGCTTCCTCAGGTATGACAACCTTCTCTGATTCTTCAGGTTTAACTATAGTTTGTGGCTCTACGGTTTCAACGACAGTGTGTGGTTCTACGGTTTCAACGACAGTGTGTGGTTCTACGGTTTCAACTGCCTTATGTGGTTCTACTGGTTGAACTACTGCCTGTGGTTCCATTGACTTGATTATCTGTTGTGGATCTGGTGGTTCAACTACAGTTTGCGATTCTACGGGTTTAACTGCAGCCTGTGGATCCAATGTTTTAACTACTATCGGTGGTTCTACTGGTTTAGCTATAGTCTGTGAATCCACTGGTTTAATTACCTGTTGTGGATCTATTGGTTTAACTACAGTATGTGCACCCGCTGTTTTAACTATAATCTGTGGTTCTACTGGTTTCACTACAGTTTGTGGATTCGCTGCTTTAAGAATCTTTTGTGGTTCTACTGGCGTAACGACTTGTTGTAGCTGTACTTGTTTAACTGGCGTCTGCAGTTCTGCTGGTGGAACTATAGTTTGTGGTTTTACCGGTTGAACTACCTTCTGTGGTTCTATTGATTTCAGTAGAGGCTGTGGGCCCACTAGTTTGACAACTTTTGATGGTTCTTCCAGTTTGATTTGTTTTTGTTTTTTTAATAGCTGGAGTAAGTTGTCATCTTGTTGAATATAATGAGGGAGAGGTCTTTCCGGATGAACCAAAAGTAAACGATGTATTGGGCCATCATCTACGATAACGATATCGCTATCGTCTATACGATGATACTTTAAAAGTCGACGAATATCATTGTCCAGTTTTTGGAGTAAAGCCGTTTGTTGTCCTTGAGTTAATTTCACTGGCTGTTTATGAACAGTTAACGATTGGCTTGATAATTGTGGCCTTGTTGGTTGATTTTTTCGAATTGTTAGTTGTAGCTCGCCTCGTCGAATGTGGGTCATCTGAATGTTGTAATCAAATTGCTTGTCGTGGTTGTATAAGTTGCTACAGGTCACCTGGTTGTCGTTGTCCAATTGATTTTCATCATCAACTAGACTGCTGTCGTCGAAGAAAGTGTCTTCATCCATCTGGGTACTGTAGTCAGATTGATTGTCGTGGTCCACTTGCTTTTCGTAGTCGTTGAAGAAGCTATTGCTCTCCTCGCTGTTGCTATCGGATTGATTTTGGTTGTCCATCTGGGTGTCGGAGTCGTATAAATTATTATAGCCTGCCTTGTTGTTGTGGTCGAATTGACTTTCGTCATTCTCTTGATTGTCGTAGTCGTATAAGCTGTTATAGCCCGCCTGACTGTTGTTGCCCGATTGAGTTTCGTAGTCTATCTGGCTGTCATAGCTCGGCTCGGTGTTGTCGTCGAATTGGTTGTCGTAGTTGTGTGATCTGTTATAGCCCACATCGTTGATGTGATTGAGAGAATCGTTGTTAAGATTTAGAAGCTGGAGAGGAGGATCATAATCTCCGTTAGTCACTGCTGTCTGGTTGACCACTATCAAAAGTAAAATAAATCCAAAATACTAACAGACTATAGAAATATATCTATTAGAATATTCTTTTACACAGAACAAATCATGTATTTATGACATGTCTCACACATCAAAACTTTAAAAATAGAATCCCATGCAAATGAATATTTCTTAGCTTTGGACACCTATCGTATACAAAAGTCGTTGTAGTCTAATGTTAAGGTTTTCTAATCGCTGTTTTGCCGTCTCTATTCGTCCCATATTTGAGATGTACATATAGTGGTAAAATTTCAATTCCGTTAAATATTGTATAGTTTTCAAATATATTCTTTATCATCAATTCATCGTCCCGTGACTCATGAAAGTGCACTTCAGTGTTTTTGTTTCTTCGCAGCAGCAAAAAAGCTCATTTTTATTGAATATCAAACCAAAGAGCTAGAAATCTGTCCGTATTTTTTTTTATTTCTTTCTTTAAAACCAGTTCTTGAGTATTACAATTGTTATATTTCGAGTCAAAGTCCAAGGCTGAGTCGATCCATGAAGATCTTTATTGTTTCAAATGGTTGCAGTTTTTCTCGAGTTTTCATCTGAAATTATAGCGTGTATTGAGATCAAAAAAGTGAAGGATTACAAAAATTGTAGAGATCTATATCAATAGACTCAAGTTTTCTATCCTGACTTTGAATATAACAATTTTATCAGATAAGAGCTAGATTTTGAAGATGAAAAATGAGAATTACAAGCAAAATTTTACCTATTTTGCCCCATATTCGACAAAAGTGACTTTTCTCAGCAATGAGAAGGAAAAAATAATTGATGCCTACTTTTTTAACCCAGTGTACGCCAGAAAGTTGCAGATTCCAGCCATACCTAGTCCATTTTGTCCGTTGACCCCGTTCGAACTAGTCGAAGGATTAAAGAAAGAGGATGAAAGGTGGATTTGAACTTCAAACCAGACAATTTTCAAAACCTCGAGGGCATCCTGACAACAAACTAAGACACTGAGATAGATTGATGTCCGTCTATACAGTGTAAATGACAGATCGACTCTCACTCCATCCACTAGACAATCACGCATCAGCCGATGTCAAAAGACTATGAATAGTCTAAAATGTTTTTAGTAGTAGTCAGGACTAGTTCGAAGCGTCATCCGCATGTGTCATGACTGGTCTTTTTTTTAAGAGTTTGTCGTCAAGACTAATCTGAAGAATCCTAAAAATCTCATTTTCTTTAGACTAAATTGTGCTACGAATTCGTTTAAACCGATCAATCATGAAGAGTAAAAGAAATGGAAAATATAATTAGAAAAGTTTTCAATATTGGTATCCTTTGTTAAAAAAAAATAATCGATGGATAATCAGACGCATTCAGAACAGGGACTAGATATTAGAATAACAATTATTTTATTGTCAGTCTTGTAATGAAACCTTCGTAAGTTCATGATTAGGCATGATGTATTATAATAAGATTACGAAAATAAACGGCATGTTTTATTTCATATTAAAATTATGTCGATTGTCACCAGTGTTATTAACTTATTTCTAGCTAGAACAACTATCAGAGAGATCGTCATAATCAATAGTGAAGTCAAAGATAGACAATATACTCTGTTTATCTTTGTCTTGATCTCGATGTATCTTATTATATTTTGTATTGTCATATGTTGAAAATGTAAGAATGTATCGAAACATGAAAATGTAGAAGTACAACAAACAATATTTATCTCACAGTGAGGAGTACTAATTTATATATTTTAAAATTCTTATAGACGTACTAAATTTTAAAAACTTAAAACTAATTGAAATCTTTGTACACCATTACTTTATGTTAGTTTATTTTAAATAAAAATTCTAATATTTTGAATTTAAGAATAACTTTAAATTAAGCGAAGTTAATTCAATTCGTATTTTAAGATTTAAATTGAAAAATAAACTAAGCCATAACATTAAAAAAATCTCGTTTCTTCTTAAAATAGGTAGTGTTTTATTTTTGCATTGTACAGTGGTTTTTTTAATCCAACTAGTTACTTCAAGTTGATAATGATCAAAAGGTACTTCTTCAAAACCTACTCTTTTTTTAAATTAATTTTTTTAAATATTGTCTAAATAGTTTCGTATTCTGTAAAAGAAAAATTTTATTCATATGAGAACTCAAAAAACTTTGAGTAAAAGTGTATAAAATAGCATCTTAGAATTATTATAATCATGTAGAACATCATCTTTTGATTATATAGCTCAACTATCTAAACGATGGTTAAATTAATCCGCATTCGTTCACTACATAAGGCTACAATTCATCCTATATATATATGTCCTTGACGTCCCTACTTTTTCAATTTTAAATGATTTTCGGATAGGAGTCCTTGTCATCCGTCTCGACTAGTCTTGGTCTCAGCAAAGTCGTCAACCAAGACTAGTTTCAACATCTACAATTTACCTTTCTGTTTATTTACAAATTCATAGTCAAGGACGAGTCTCTTTTGACTCAAGGACTAGTCTTATCATGTTTCAAAAGGATCGCCAGTGAGAGTGCTAGGACACGTATGCATGACGGTCAGAAATTTCGACTAGGCATGGTCGAAGACTTTTTGAGACAAAGACTAAACGGTAGGAGTCAGCATGACTAGAAAAAAGACAAGATATTTTGTCCGTCTTTGGTTTAGATGGGCAGTCTTTAGAAGTAAGCTTCAATGCCTATTACTTCGGTTAAAAAAATCAACATACCGAGATTGACATTAAAGAAAGATTCAGGCTTTTTTCGTTGAGAATCGGTGAGATTTTTTGTGTTATCTTTCACTATAGAGAAATTATTTGACGATGTTAGTACTTGTTTCTTCGTATCGTCACCAGTAATTGAAAAAGCATTCTTGTTTGCTTCTTCATCTTCGTTTCTCTTTTTATCACTGTCAGTTACGTTGGTATTGTATACGTTGAGCACTCTTTCAGGATTCGTATTCGTATTTTTAGCCATTTAAGAACTGCTATTGATATGTGTATATTATCCTTGTTAGTAGACTATTGTAATATGACAATGGTTGATGTACACACATACACAGACATAGAGTGAATGAATAGATACACAATGAATAACAGCACGGTGATTTATCAATAGAAAAGCTTATCTTCAGGTTTTACATAAAAATAAATATTTCCTTGAGTGAAGAAATATGGCTGTCGTTATATGCATCGATGTTAATGTTACGCCTCATTACTTTTCTCTCATTTTGTTCTTTTCTCTGTTTGATTAATAAACACAGACACATGTTAACTGAAGGCTACTAATGAATAATATTTTTTTAATTTGAAGCATATATCCAAAACGAAAAATTTATATCCTTCTGCCCAAAACAAACTGAACACTGTCTTTTTTCGATTGTTTCTTTCTGCCATCGTTGTTCTGTCTCATATTTATATTACAGAAAAACGCTCGATTGCTTAAATCCATTTTGGTTTTTTATACAAGAAACTAATAATTCTGCAACTTACTTGCAACATGTGCAGTTCGACATTAGTAATTATTTACAAAAGTTACGTCATTATTCTTTTATTCATGATGGCATAACTTGAAGCCATGCTAATGCAGTGCATAACTGGCTTATTAAAAAACTGTATTAAGTGCTTAGATAATTATCCATCGGTTAGTCCGGAACTTCATGTCATAGAATCGGTATGAGGTTGGATGAAACATTTTGTACAAACAAGGCATCCAAAAACACAACAACAACTCGAATATTTCGTTTTGAAAGCATGTCAATAAGTTTTCATGTCCTTCATCCAAGGATAAATCAAATATATTTGTATTATTGTTCGACAAATGATTTCAGCTGATGCTTAGGATATCGATGATTGAATGATTATACTGTTTTGAATGTGACTTTTGTAGATCAGTCATTTTTGTAAAAGATTTTACTTCGTAAATCAAATATTTTTTAAATTGATGGTTGTCAATAATTTCGTATAAGAGATGTTACACTGATCGAAGCATTTAATGGATTAGTTTTCATCCTATAACTGTCTATGTGATAAATAAATATCATAAAAAATGTTTCGTTGCACAGTCATGTCTTCGAGATACCAATTATCATCTGATATTCCAAATGGAATCTAAAATAACGAAGAAATAAAAAAATATTTGTTTTAGTGACAGATAAGTATATGAGAAATATTTGTTGTTTTTTCGCTAACTTTCACTCCATAGGACTGAAATTTTAAGAATACGTTAAGTAATCGAGCATGTATCTGTGATATAAATATGAGACAGAATAATAATCGTATGTAGAAATAATCGAAAAAATATTCTATTCGGTTTATTTTGACGAGGGGATAGATTATAGCAAACGCTCCCATCATGTATCTTGTGTATTGGCAGGATAACAGTTTATTTGAAAAAAAAATAACTTTGTACGAGTTGACAGCTTATGGAGTTCACGGCAAGACGTTTCTCAAGGTTTTTCAAATACAATGTTTCATGTATTTTCTGCA